TTGATAACTTCCCCAAAACTATTTTTTCTATAGGACTACCAGTAAATATGTTTTTATGTAAACAAATCACATTCTATTGGCTTTGACAAATTTTTCTTGAGGAAAATTTTTTTTTTTCTGAAATTATTCTGCTTAATAAATTACAAGAATCCAATGAATAGGTCATTATGTAAAAAACTTAGTTTCAAGTGTTTTTTTTTGTTTTTTTCATCTGAAGAAATATTTTATTATTTATGAATTTCACCTAACTTAACATGTGCAGCAAGTGGATACAATACCATACTTAGTTATTTCAAATATTTAGGTTCCATTCCTTAAAAATCTACCTAATTGTTAAAACTATATATTTAACTTATAAACATTCACCATTATGCCAATTTACAATGTTCAGAGGGATATGAGTGTCATGTAAGAATAACACAGAAAGAGCAAAATGGAATTAAAAATCCCCTTCAGAAAGATATGAAACCATCTCCACCTGGCTATGGCTTAAATAGCAGAGTTGTCTGGGTTCTCTTGTCTTGAGAAAAGAAAAAGTGAATTCAAAACCAACCTGAAAAGATATGACCTCCATCATGCTATCTTGCCCTAAACACATTATGGCTCTCAATATAATATATTGGTAGTATCTCTATATGAACCTCTAATGTTTTCAGAACTCATGATATGAAAATGTTCAGAAAAGAACAGACATATTAACAAACCTTTGCATAAATATCAAACAACACTCTATATATGAGAAAGTATACAAATATAGCAGAATGATAAATCATCAAATACACTTAAACATGTGACTAAAGATGTGTGCATGAATATGAGAGAGAGAAATGAGCATGCCGTGAGTAAAGCTTGACCAAGTATGACTGAAACCATACATGAAGAAATTTTGAATTGGAACTATAACCACTGACTAGCAGTCACAACAGTTTATCTCTACAAAAGGTTGTGAATAAAAGAATATTCCTCATAAGGAAAGTCAAATGAAAATTATTGGCATATTTTAAACCAACTTACAAGAGAAAAATTATGAGAAAGTAGAAAGAAGAATATGAAGAATTCTCAGTTCACAATTACACATGTGAAACAGGCAACAATGTTAAAGGTAATTTACTTTTATAATCACAACTAGGCAGATTGAAGTTTGCTTTATTGATGAATTCAGCAGCAGAAGTGACAGAAAAATAAGATATTGTACCAAAAATGATTTCAGAAAGAGTCAGGGAAAGATAATAAAAGTAGAATCATCAAACATGGTTTCTAATAAGAAAAATACTTACTGGATGGACAATGCTAGTTTAAAACTTAAGTACACAGAATATCATTGACAATAATATAGTTTTGTTGATAAAAAAAAAAAAAAAGAGAGACATCAGTTCAAGTAGAAGCCTTTACATGTGTAGAGTAATTGGCCAAAGTTAAATGTAATTGGCAGAAATGCTCAACAAATAAAACTGACAGTGTGCAATAAATAATAACAAAAGAAAAAACAGGGCAAAAATAATATTAAGCCACTGCCTGAGCCTCACTGTTCTTATCTAAACTAATTAAAAAAAGATTATGATTTTAACAGAAAATATGCCGTAAGATTTACTAAAATAACTGATTTAAAAAGAAGAGAAAAGATATCCCTAAATACAACCACCACTTCAAGATTTTGCCAGTCCAGGTTAATAATAGATTTTCTGTTAGACACTTAAAAGAAAAAGAGTTCACAGCAATGGTTTTACTGCAGAAACAAGTAAAACGCTTCCAGTTATAACTGACAGCCTCCAAAGGTAAAAAGTCAATTTGAAAAACAAAAGGATAAATAAATACAAAAGAATTAGTTTGAATGAGTTTTTTTCTATTTTAATTTCTATGAGAAAAATTTTCAAGGTTAAGCTGAAGATGTTCTGCTCAGACAACAAAAATATCCCCTTGAACATAGAAGCAATTGAGAATAAAAAACAGCGTATAGGAAAAGACTTCAAAGTAAAATGTCAATAAAAAATAATACTTATTTTCAGGAAAGATGTAGAACTATGTAACCAGTGTGTATGTGTGTGCATGCATGTTCACAAATAGGTAAAAAAGACAAAGGAAAACATTAAATAAAAACAGTAAGATATGAATTAAATTTCTCTGGTTCATCATTGTCTGCATAGAACATGCAATATGATGAATATATTCTTGCTTGGATAAAAAAATGTCAAATAAATCACAGGTCTACTACTTTTATAAACTACAAAACAATCTCATGACACACTTGATAAATGCTTAAGGTAAGAAAAAAAATCAATTTCTTATTCATATAATATAGACAAAAAACTGTAAAACAATTTATGTACAGAATAAATAAATTTACTGTGGAAGAATCAGTGAATGATCATTATTAAAAATGGGGATCATTAGAATTTCTATCTAAATGTTTCTTATTGTGGTATTTTATACAACTTAAAATGTTATTTACAAAATGAAATAATGTCATTTGTTACTTTGTAAATTTAAAACATTTATAAAATAAATTATGTTAATTATGAAAATGGTAAATGATATTTGTTAAAGTAAATACTAAAATGAAATTGATTTTTAAATATTTAAGTTGGAAAATAAATAAGTAGTACAAAATAAAATAGCACAGATTTTGAAAAGATTGAAGTTTGTATTGGTATCCTCTTTATGCTTTTTATTTTTGTCTGCATATTTCTAATAAGTGGTTATTCAAAAAGGTCAAGGACCAAATTGTATGAAGAAATTTTCAAGTGATCAATGTAAAAGATTTAATATTAAACATCAGCATCTATTCATATTCATATATTCTATCTGAGCCTAACAATTAAATAACTTACTAGTAATTAAAAATACAACATTTAAGTATGGGGGTAAATTAAATGACCAATAAACTTTCTTCACTATCTCATGACACACACGAATACAAATTTTACTTCTAAATACAGAGGCTAAAGTTACAGGGTGATTGAAAAGTAACTCACCATTTTAGAATACTTATAATTTATTTAAAATTCAATATGGGTACCAGATTTTGCTACCAGCTTCTTGAGCCACTCAGGAATCACATCAACTGATTTCATCAGAAACTCTTGTGGTATGGAAAACATAATTTCTTATACTTGCCCTTCAAGTTCTTCCAAAGTCTTGGTTTGGTATAGTAAACTTGCTCCTTTAACCACCCCCAAAAATGTCACAGGGTGTTAAGCCAGTACTCCTAGCTGGCCACTCATACATAAAATAGGGAGTTACTTTTCAATCACTAATATATATATATATATATATATATATATATATATATATATATATATACACACACACACACAATTGAATCTGATGAATACAAAAAAGTTTGACATTGTTAAACTAAAAAACAAGCCACTTCAGAACCAATACTTTTAGCAAATTAATGAAAAGGAGATGAAACAGAGTTATTTTAAAAAATAGTAATTTAAGGTTAAGGAAGTGTAAAGTAGTTGTTTAAAAGTTACAAACATAAAGGCTTGGAATGAAAATATTGAACTAAGTACAATCAAGTTCAGCAAACCAAAATGAGTTTGTAATTAAATTTCAAGACTCAAATTGAATCATTAATTGTAATTAATAATCAACACTATTACAAAGATTAAATAAGTAAATGAAAAAATATCTATCTGCATGAAACAGAACAAAAATAATGCCTATTTTTCAAGTAAAATTTGGTATTTGACAACTTTGCAGGCTACTTGAGAAATAAAATATTAAATGTCAAAACAGATCTGCTAATTCCTGTCAATATTTGTTGAGTATCTACTCTTAAACAAAAAACAAACATTGAAACAATAAAACCTTGTATCTCACACACAATACAAAAAGGGGCTGTTGAAGAGCCCAACCAAAATCTAACCAAATGATCAAACAGATTTTTTTTTGTTGGGGGCTTTTATATCATGATGTGAACTTGTCAGTTTCTCCCCATATTTCAACCTGAAAGAAAATTATCTCAGTGTGTATAAACAAGGTGAGGTATCATCAGAAACAATAATTTTTACAGCTTTTACTTTTTGTCAGCAGTTTGAGAATTGATATAACAGGACTTACTAAAAATATATATTTTCTCTACATTCATTTGAAATAAAATGAACAGTCATTACAATTCAAAATATTTTATTCTGATGCAGACTCCAAAATTGAAAATGTGATCAAGGACATTTTGATTCAAAACAAAGCAACTTCATAGAACATGCTTCTTACAGTGCCAGTGTAAAATCTCCTTGAGAGTGTATAACATAAAACCATCTGAAACATTGATTTTCATGCTGTATTTGAGAGATTTATTAGTAGGATTCATTAAAATATTTTACTTCTAAATACAGAGGCTAAAATGTATAATTGAAATAACGAAGAACAATTTCTTTATAACATTTTAAATTTGTAACATGAAATATAAATGAATGCTTAGAAATCTAATACAGTTAATTTATTCAGTTGTAAATTGATTTAAATATGTTTAATAATATCATCTACTAATAAAACTGATAGGATTCTTAGGAAAGATTTTGACATCTGAATTATAAGTCATAAATGAAAATAATTCTATTCATGGTATGCATAAAAAAAGTTGAATATATCAATTTACAAAATTAAATTATTAAAAAAATCTAATCACTTCCCCATGATGCCAATAGAATTGTAATATGCAACAAGATAACATTATTTTTTTTTTTTTTTTTTTTTACTTCATTCCTTTTACATGTTTCAGTTATTTTCTGTAACAGAAGATAATGATCTATTCTGAATAGAGAAAATAATTTGAATCTGCATCCTTCTTCTTTTCTATACAGGAATTGTGAGTGAGAAAGCTATAGGTGAAATTTAAACCATAGACTTTGAACCATTATGTAATAGAAAACAAAATATATTACTGTAATTGGTCTATTCTTAACAAAGAAAATTTATTACCTCATTGTGTTTCCTTATGATAAATGGAGGTGGAGTGAAGAAAATTAAATAAAAGTAAAAAGGCTACAAACCTCAAATAAATCAGTGGGATTCCCAACTTTAGAGAAGAGATAGGGCCACAATGCAACCTCTGTCTTCCTGGCACAGTGGACAACAGTCTGCAGGAACTCTGGGAACTCCTGAATGAAGGCCACCACACGTGGAAGAAGGGGATCTGAAAAGAAAAAAAAGATTTAGTCTATAGAATTGAAGCTATCTGGCCTGGCATTGCATGCAAACATCAATGTCTAATATATGTGACAAGTCAATTTTATTTCAATTGAAAAATATAATTATGATTTGCAACAAGTGATGTAAAATTATATATTTTTAATAATCATCTTTCAGAGTAAAAAATAATAAAACATAACTGAAAACAATTTTAGTTAATTGTTTACTAAAATAAAATCTGATAATGAAACATTAAAAAGAAATGTATTTGCATAGCATACATGTTCTTTAATTTTATTAATTATTACAGAAAAAGCTATGAAGCAAGTATTTAAAAAAAATAAAAAATGGAAGGTAAAATAGTAAACAATTAACAAAGAAAATAATTAGATAATATACCAATATATATCCAATCATTACAAAGTTTGTCTCCAAACATAAATAATAATGAACCTACTAATGAGGAAATTAAGAAAGCTATTAAAAAACTAAGGAATAATAAAGCATTACTTGACATTGAGGCTGAAATTTTGAAAATAGCTTGCTTTTTCTTTGAATTCAATAACAAGTTTCTCTATTTTATGAAAGAAATCTGGAATCTGAAATGCATCCCCAAAAAGTGGTGTTTATCATACATTAATATACTATGGAAATAGAAAGGTAACCTCAACTCTGTTGAGTTTTCTCAGTTACATCTATCATGGTGAAAGTATTAATGAATATTAAATAGGATCTCATCATTTTTATGAAAGTCAACCCCTCATGGTCGAGTTTGGTTTTCATTCTGGTAAAGAATGCAATGATGGCATATCTGTCAACAAGAAATTGCTTACCTCTCTAATATGAAATTATATAACTGCTACTTCGATCTCACAAACATTTCAAACTTCATCTTGAGTACAAGGAGAAAATGAGAACCCTTGTTTCATTTAATCATTTTTTTTAGATTATGCTCTTCACCTTTACAAACTCAGATATAAAGAGATGGGCACTGATCATCTAAGCATTCCATAACACATCCCAAATGAATATAACAATAGAAGACAATGTTCCTGCTTTTCCTCCCAAGGCCAATGTACTGATGATGATATACTGATGACATAGATATTCATAGTTGAAATAAGAATGATCTTTAACAACAAAAAGATTTTCTACAAAGTACTTCAAAAAATAGGATTCTAGGTAAACCTTTCCAAAATGGAAATTATGATCTGAGGAGGAGAGTAGGTAAGAAATAAATCAAGTAAAGAAGCCTATTGCTCAGAGTGAGTAGGGAAATCCATGATTTGAGTAAGGAATTGAGCAATGTGAAAATTGAAAGTTTGAGCATCAGTAACAATGTTTAAACCATGTGTCTTGACGCACAAAAACAAAGATGTTTGCAGATAGAGAGAGAGAAATTGCTGTTTCTATACTGTAAGAGATTATGTCTAATATAATGCAATCCTGAGAAGAGTGTAATAATGAAAATCAAAAGCACATGAAAAAGTTGTCTGGGGACTCAAATGACAATTCCCTTGCCATTGGAAGATTATCCTGGATGTAAACACCAAGGCTATGCATGTGAATGCTGGAATTTTTTCAGCAAAGAGGAAGAGCACCTAGAACAGAGTAGCAATGGAAGAATTTAAATTGGTTTTACGAAGAGCTAAGATATTTGGCGACAATTTCAAGAGAAAAGATTCTATACTGCTAAAGTTAGAATGGATACCATGAACATTGGAGAAAGAAAGGTTTGTATTTGTCATGAGGAGATTTGATATGAGGAGAAAAGGAAAAGGACAACATAATTATTACTATCTATCATCAATGGAAATACAAACTAACCAGAACATGGCTGAGACCAGAGAATAATGTGACCTCAGGGCTGCCCAGCTGAAATACACGCAGAGACAACATGGCACTACAAATATTCCAATATTATGCAACTATTGATCAGAGCAGCCTCTCTAAGAGCTACCAAATAGTTTGGGTGCCTTACGAATGCAGCAGCCAGCAAACTGCTAACATGGTACTCTCATAATGGAAAGTCACAGCCACTGATTAGTCTGATCACCAAAAAGTTAATTTAATTAAATCATTATGGCCATTGAAGAAGAAAAAAAAATGGTAAGCCATATCCTAAAACAGGAACAATGGATGATCCTCTACTTCTGCTTGTTTATATTCAAGCCTATAAAAAATATTTTTGTAACTTATTACTATTAGTTTAATGAGAGAAGAGATAATAAACAGCAAAGTACAGATAGGAGATATACACTGAAATTTTTTAAAAAGTTCTACAAATTTCTTATAGCAATTTTCTGAACATTTTTTTTAACATTGCTAGGAGTTGATTATATATATATATATGTCAATCAAATACATAGCCAACAAAATATTACCAATATCATCATTAAATCTGTAAGAAAAACAATTTAAATGTGTTACTTTATGCCATTCTTCTAACACAAACCATGTCCTTGAAATTATTATGTATATTAGGGGCATCTGATAAATAAGGTATAGTATGCATCAATTGACTGGAATTAAAACTGAAAACTAAACACAAAGCAACTGTGGGTATGCTGTACTTCTTGCAATAGTCAAAATATGATGTAACAAAGATGATTGGCATCATAAAATGATGGATAAACAAATATGCAACATGTAATTAAATTTTTGCATGTCAATGTCAAAAATCCAGCAGAAATTCACTATGAACTTGTTACTGCATATAGCAAAAATGTAATGAGCAAGAAGCAGGTATTTGTCTGGTATAGTATGTACAAAAAGAGTACATGAATCTGCCAGTCATACAAAACAACATTGTAATCTAGCTGTGGAACTTTGATCTGAAGGTCAATGAAATCACCGATGAGAAGTTAGGATATCAGAAAGTGCCATCTCTTAGATCCCAAAAGCAACTACCTGAAGAACACAAATTTCAGCACATGGGCATTTCTTTTCAGGTTTTGGATTTATATATATATATATATATATTATATATATATATATGTATATAAACTCTGGGTGACCATTCTAGTTTTTTTAATCCATTCTGCCAAACTGTGGTTGTGATTCTTGCTCTTAATTCCATAATCAGTCCACTCTTCAACTACCTTAGGCTTTATTGGATTAGCCAATTGATAAAATGAACTCGTCACAATAGAACAACTATTAGAGATTCACACACAACACATAATAGATTGGTTGTGTACAACTAAAAAATAAAAACAAAACACACACACAGAATTAATGATGAAAAAGCAAGTAGAAACTTATTGCAATTTCCCTAAAGACAATCTGATAGCACCTGCTGAAAGCAGGCATCATTTTTGTACCTCCAACATGAGGTTGAGGGACAGAAGAGAGAATTGAAGAACTGGCCAAATAACAATGAATCAGAAAGCAGAGGAAAACGCACAAAAGATAAGTGGTGTTAAGCTGAATAAGCCAAAGTGTTTGAATCATGAGAGTAAATAAAATTCTTTATTATATGAGAACAACAGTAGTCCTACTTAAAAGGCACATTGCTTTACATCTAAAGATGAAATACCTCATTACTTATATGAAAACGTCTATCATTTTCATGGTACAAAAGTGATGGAGAGCCATGATTCTCCATATCCTGAAGGAGCATGGGACATAAAAGAAAGAATGTTATAACAAAGATTAATTAAAAGTAAACTTAATTTCAGAAACACTGAAATTTCACTTTTACAACATGAATTAAACATTAACTAAGTTTTTAATTGAGGTTAGATGAAATTTCTCTGAAAGTTAATATTGATAATTTAATGTGAAATTATCTAACAAAAGATAATTCTTTTTACTTTCACACTTCATTATCATTTCTTGTTTTACTTATGAACTAATCAAAGTATTTTCCTTGTTATCTGTTTTTAGACACATGTTGATATAAAAATTATAAAATATAACAGCATTGTGAAGTAAGTGAAAAATTTGTAAATACAATCATGCAACTTAAAAGTGACCTAGAGAGTCATTGGAGATGAACTGGTTGATTTAGTGATCAACCAGTCAATGCATACTTGGTACTTTGTAAATTTGAAGTTGTCACTAATAAATTTTATTAGAATTTAAGCTTATTACAAAGCAAAGATTCATTGTATTCATACATCTTATTTCCTTTCATGTGTACTTGATATTTCTTTCTTTTTATATGAAAACATAAAAAATTCAGCTTCCTTAACAATAATAAAAATGTAAAAAACATTTTTTTAAGATAGAATTTCAATAGAAATTGTGCAAAAATCAAACTTAGTTCTAGAGTTAAACTAATAATCTCCTCCATTAGGCTTAAGTCATTATTTTCAAGCAATATTATTCAGTATTTCCCAAAACAATCTACTATTTTAATTTTATTTTTGTTGTGATTATTAGAAGATATATTTCAGTAGATAACTTTATTTGTACAATCAACTTCTAATAAAGCAATATTAAGTATAAGGTGCTGTAATGTTTGCATTGCTATCTGCATTCTCTTATGTCGCCACACCAACCTCTCTCTTAGTAAAATGACAAAATCAAAGTAAATCAAGAGAATCTACTCATCTACTTCATTTCTTTGCTATAAAGTAAATCTGGTAATTGTTTCAACTTGTAATCAATAACAGAAAATAATTCACTAACAGTTATTTATAAAAATGAAAAGAAAAAGTTCAAGAAGAGATCTACTGGTTTCTATATTTAACCCATTTTCAAGGTAACATTTCAGTTTACAGAAAAATACATATTAAAAGAACATTAATGAAAATCAAAGTATTAAATTCTCTAAGGAATAAATTAGAATCAGAGATTATCACAAAAATTTGGAATCAAGGAACTTGCCTAAGAGCAATTTATACAAAACTAATTATAAAGAGGAGGCACAGTAGAGTAATGGATAGCAGCTCGGAATGAGGAATCGGAGAGCAGAGTTTGAATTCCAGTTGAATCCATTACATTCACTTATATGCTAATACTCTTGGGGAAGGTATTAATCCTCTTCTTCTCCCCACG